GAGAGAGAGAGAGAGAGAGAGAGAGAGAGAGAGAGAGAGAGAGAGAGAGAGAGAGAGAGAGAGAGCGAGAGAGCAGGTGGTGGCGGAAAGTGAGTGGTGAGATGGAGAAAGGAGGGAGGAAGGATTGAGGTGAGGGTGGATGAAGATGGGGAGAGGGGGAGAGGTAGGGAGGGAAGGGAGTTTAGACTTATGAAGCAAAAGCGATGGCTGGTGACCGAGGTGCCTGAGAATGGCCTCGGTTGGGCACAGAAGCGTTCTGCTGTCGACCGAAGGGCCCAAGATTGCGTATTTGGAGTGGAAACTTCCCATGAATCTGCATCACTGTTGCTTCACCGGAGAGGCGGAGGAAAGATGAGTAGGGTGGGTGGTTCACTACGAATGGCGGTGGCTTGTCATTGAAATATAAAGGGGCTATCAGGGGGGGGCGCAGTTGGTCCTTCCCTCTCGTTCCCCCCAAAACTCCTCTGCTATAGAAGCCCCTTTTCCTGACTTTTCTCCCTCCCCCCTCCCCCCTCCCCTCCCCCCCCCCCCCCCCCTCCCATTTTCGATTTGGGTTTGGAGTGGACTGTGGCCATGATTACAAGGAGATGAATGTACCCTTAGTTGACGGAATGGTGCATTCCTTGCCACTAGTTGTAGAACAATGAGTTGAGATTGAACCCAGCTGAATACGATAATAATGTCGAGGGTTGTCCCCCTGTTATTGTGAAGAGGCGGACGGTGATTGAAAGGAGGGGTGGGTTGGGGAGTAGGGGGAAGCGGATGACGGGGTAAGGTACTTGGGGTTGGTTTGATGTATCCTGTAAATAATGAAGGGGAATTTTATGTCAGATGGGGAATTTTATGTCAGAGTACTTGATCTGCTTTGTAATGTGTTCTGGAGGAAGCTATAGAGTAAAGCTATAGCATTGGATAGTGGAAGGTAGATGGCTACCCTGTGTGGCATGGGGGATGGCTGCTTTGCTGCAGAGTGATATGAATGTCAGTCTGTAGTCTTAAACTTGTATGTCGGCAGGCCTGGAGGGTTTCCGATCCAGGCTCTGCCGTTATCGTTGATGATCTCTTTTCGATTTAGCGGAGACTGCAAGTAGTTTTACATTTTGAAATTTGAATGTTTTGTGAATTATTTTCTTCCCCCCCTTTCTTCTTCTTCCTCTTCCTCCTCCTTTCGTCTTTCTCCCCTCTTCCCCCCTTCTCCTCTGTCCTCCCTCCGCCCTCCTCCCCCCTCCCCCCACTCCCTC